TTTTATTGGTAGGAGAGCAGTGGTGTCGTCCTCTCCCCATTTGCTTGTGTTTTTTCTTCCTCCTTCCCAGTTCCTCCCTGAACTCACAAGGAGTAGAAAGCTATTTTATTTTCTAGCTCTGGGTGCCTGGAGACAAACACTGGAATACATATCTTTGGAGCATAACATAAAGAACATGACTTACATCTAGAAGTTTGTAACTTCTATTTTCTGATGCTGCTTTTCATGCACTGTGAGTGTCTGAGAAATAAGGGAGAGACAAATGTACGGATCATCCTCTGCCTCAGGGGACCAGGAAAAGCCACTGACTAAAAAACTAAAATGCTGCTCCATAGGGAGCCCCTGCACAGGACTGAACTTTATTCTGTGCTTCCTGTCAGTTCCCACGTGAGCCCAGGTCTCCAGTCTGGGTCATGCAGGACTTGAGGTATCAAGTACAAACTCTGAGTAATGTTTGTGAATTAAGGTGGTAGAACTTAAAGTGTATTGTTTACTTTTTAATTCCTCAGAATTTCCATGGTATTTGATATTAAATACCTCAGAGGGGTCTATCATGCCTGGGGACAGGAGAGTTCTGGCTGCAGTTCCCATCTCCCTGCAGGCCAAAGCTTGGTGTTCCCTGTGCTCCAAAGGTGGTGGATGGAAAGGTTGGAAATGCTGTTGGCACAGGCCCTGCTCAGCCTGGGCTGTGACTTTCCATCTTTCCAGCTCTTCTGTCCCTTCCCTTGGATTTTCCTAGGAGCTGTGATGTGCCACGGGCAGCAGAGATGGACAATGCCTCCCTTAGTCCCAGAGTCCCCAGGATGGAACACAAAGAAAATAGCAGGAATATGAAAATTTCATGCACTGAGAGTTTGTGGTGCTCTGGATCAAATCTTGGATTTATAATGTTAAAGGAGAGGGTGGGGTTGGGCAGCACTTGGCTGTTTTGGGGCTTCTCTATCTCCTTGTCATTATTGTTCTTATCACTGCTATTGTTACTACTGTTAGTGTTATGTATTATCATGAATATTAAATTATTGTATTTTTCTTGGTTTCCATCATTAAACTATTCTGATCTCTCCCGACGAGCTGGATTTTTTCCTTTGATCTCTTCCCCACCTCACTGCTGGGGGGGCTGGTGCCCAACTGCCGGCTGGGGTTCAGCCATGACTCTGGGGCAATTCTGGGGGCTCAGAACCAGACTCACTCGGTCGGTTTTTGGGCTCCCACAGAGAGATCCAGTGCTGCGTTTGGGCGGCTCGGAACTGAGCCCGAGTGCTGCGATTCCGGGCTCACAAGCAGAGACCCCGGTGCCACGTTTGGGGGGCTCAGAACTCGGCTCACTTGGTCA